AATTGTTTACGTTTTGGTCATTTTGCAAACCGTTGTAAGTCGAGTGGCTGTAAAGTGTGTAAAAGAAAGCACAATACTTTGATTCACGTTTCAGATATGAAGCTCAAGACAACTCCCAATTTATCTTCTCGCCCTGAGGATGGTCCACTATCTCTCCCTGGTACATCGTGCGAAGATGAGCATATCGGTAATAATAATATCACTTTGTCTGCGCAAGTATCGACCTACCTACGAAATAAAAATCAGGTACTTTTAGCCACTTCCCTTATAAAAATATACGGTCACAATAATAAGGAATACTTAGCTCGCTTTATTCTAGACAGCGGTAGCACTTCTTGCCTAATTACGGAAAGATTGAGTAAATTATTAGAGTTACCGATAGTTAATGTTAACGAATCTTTATTAGGAATTAATAACTCTAAGTCTCACATAGGCAAAATGTGTTGCGTGCCTATAAAGTCTTTGAACGAAAACTTTAATACTAATCTTTTCTGTTTCGTTTTGCCTCATATAACGGACGAAGTACCGAGTCAGGAAATACCTTTAAACGACATTAACATACCTAGTAACCTCTGTTTAGCAGATCCCCGCTTCCACACGCCATCGTCGGTGGATTTAATTATTGGTGCGGATGTTTTTTGGGACCTATTAGGGGTACGTAAAATTAGTTTAGGAAACGGAAAGCCGGTACTCATTGAATCTAGGTTAGGATGGCTAGTCTCAGGCCCCTTAATTAATAATGGCCAAGTACCGTATTCGATTTCTAACACTAAGTCGTTTTTAGTAAAACTAAATTTGAGGGAAAACGTCTCTTCGCACAATGATAATAACGATGATATTCAAAACCTATTGACGCGTTTTTGGCACCTAGAGGAGGTTTGCCATGATACATCAGTTCTCTCCGCGGAGGAGAAAATGTGCGAAGAACATTTTATTAAAAATACAACTCGTCTACAAGACGGTCGTTTCTGTGTGAGAATACCACTGAAACAATCACGTGATAATTTAGGCGGTTCCCTACAACGCGCCAAGCTTTGCCTCCTTTCTCTTGAGCGTAGGTTTAAGGGTCAACCCAAATTTAAAAATAATTATACTTAATTCATGTCAGAGTATCTAACACTAGGACACATGTCTGAATGTTCATTTGATCCACGGAGGTTAGCATATTTTATACCACACCATGGAGTGATTCGCGAAAGCAGCTTAACGACTAAGCTCAGAGTTGTTTTCGACGCGAGCAGTCCGACTACTTCCGGTATTTCATATAATAATTTGCAATTAGTGGGGCCCACTGTACAGGATGATCTGCTATCTATACTACTTAGATTCCGACAACATAAGTACGTGCTATCAGCAGACGTAGAAAAGATGTATAGACAGATCGTCGTACATCCTGATGACAGACCTCTCCAACAAATAGTTTGGAGAAATGATCCATCAGAGCCCATGAAAGCGTACCAGTTAAACACCGTTACGTATGGCACAGCCAGCGCACCCTATCTCGCCACCAGATGTCTTAAGCAGATTGGTATGGATTGCAAGGACGATAAAATCTCCGAAATAATAATCCATGACTTCTACGTCGATGACCTATTAACTGGAGGGGACAGCATTCAAGATGCGCTGGACATACATAACAAGGTGTCTTCTGAACTGGCCACAGCTGGTATGAACCTCCGTAAGTGGAAATCAAATGAACCTCGAGTAATACTAAATAATAACAATTCATCTCTCGACTTAAATATTGGTTCTACGGAACCCTGTAAAACATTAGGTCTCAGCTGGCAAATCGAGTCTGATGAACTGTATTTTTCGACGAGTGAAATCGTTTTAAATAATTTTACAAAACGTGGATTACTCTCGGTTGTTTCACAAATCTTTGATCCACTGGGTCTTCTGACCCCATGCATAATTTCTATGAAAATTTTAATGCAAAAATTATGGTTACTTAAACTTACATGGGACGAACAGTTGCCTTCGGAAATAATTAAATTATGGCTTTCAATTGTAGAAAACTTATCATTTTTAAACAATTTAAGAATTCCACGCAGTGTTATCTGCAATCAATATATTAATGTAGACTTACATATTTTTAGTGACGCATCTCAAGTGGCTTACGGAGCATGTCTGTATGTCCGTAGTTCTAATAATAAAAATAATGTGATGGTGCGTTTACTTTCAGCCAAAAGTCGCGTAGCTCCCATAAGGCCGACTACAATACCACGGCTTGAGCTCTGCGCTGCACTTGTCGGTGTCCGTCTCTATGAGAAGGTGATAAGTTCGCTTCGAATCCAAGTAAGATCAGTAATTTTTTGGTCAGATTCGACAATCGTTTTAGGTTGGTTAAAAATGCTACCTAACAAATTACAACCTTTTGTTCGTAATCGAGTTGCCGAAATTTTGGAAAAAACAGGTTCATTTACTTGGCGACATGTTCCCACTGATCTCAATCCGGCAGACTTTGTTTCCCGCGGTACGAACATAAATCAAATTCATAATCTTGACTTATGGTGGTCTGGTCCACAGTTTTTAAAGGGTGACATGTCTAGTTGGCCTGCTAACCCTATTGTAAGTGATAAGCTACCAGAAACTCGCTCAGAGATTTCTTTAGTTGTTACCGATCAGAAAAAACCTTTAATTGACTTTGAGAGATTCTCTAATTTTATAAGATTACAACGTTCTATGGCCTACGTGTTAAGATTTATTAATATTTGTAAAAAGAAACCGGTACAAAGTAAATTTTTAAGTAACGACGAACTACATAATTCTTTAAATACTTTAATTAGATTGTCACAAATTGAGTCATTCGAGGAATATGTGACCTTATATAATAACAAAAAATTGCCTTCAAAATGTACTATTTTGAAATTTAATCCTTTCCTGGACGAAAATAAAATATTGCGTGTCGGTGGTCGTTTAGGAAATGCATTATTTACTTATGAAAAGAAACATCCGATTATGTTACAGTCCACTAATCGTTTTACCAAATTATTGTTTAAGTATATGCATGTCAAGCTTTTACACGCCGGTCCTCGTTTACTATTAGCTTCAATTAGAGAAATGTATTGGCCCATCGGAGGCCTCAAGTTAGCTAAATATTGTTATCGACAATGTTACTTATGTTGTCGTTATAAGGGAAGGGTTATAAATCCACTTATGGGCAATCTGCCTCAGGGTCGAGTGACTCCCGGCGGTTTTCCCTTCGAGAGCGTTGGCGTCGATTATGCTGGACCTATTATGTCCGCCAGTCGTCAAGGCCGTGGTTGCAAGCTTACGAAAGTGTATATTCTCATCTTCGTTTGTTTTGCGACAAAGGCTGTACACGTGGAGTTAACAGGCGATCTAACAAGTAATAATTACTTATCAGCACTTCGTCGATTCATTTCACGTCGCGGAAAACCTAAACACATATACTCCGACAACGGAACTTCATTCGTAGGCGCATACAACGAAATCGGTCGTTTTATAAAAGACAATTGCAATTCACTGTCCGAGAATTTGGCTCAGGAAAATATAAATTTCCATTTCATTCCTCCGCAAGCCCCTCACTTTGGCGGTCTTTGGGAAGCAGGCGTTAAGTCAATAAAATATCATTTACGGAGAATATTAGGTAATTGTAACCTTACATACGAGGAATTAAACACTGTGCTGGTTCAAATTGAAGGTGTACTGAACTCTCGTCCGCTGACACCTCTCTCCACGGATCCTGATGACTTACTGCCATTAACCCCGGGACATTTCCTCATCGGCCGCCCCATCACCTCTCTTCCTTCTCAAAATTATGAAGAAGTCCCTAGCAGTAGACTGAGTCGATACCAACGCATCCAACAACTTCGTCAACATTTTTGGAGAAGATGGAGCAAGGAATATCTCTCAGAACTCCAGCAGAGATCAAAATGGCGTTCCAATGCTGACACTTTAGGGACGGGTGATCTTGTAGTTCTGAAGGAAGACAATTTACCGCCGCTCAAATGGCGACTGGGTCGAATTACAGCCTTTCATCCCGGAGCCGACGGCATCAACCGCGTTGCCGATATCAGAACTGCCACCGGAATCGTCCGAAGACCTTTCTGCAAAATCTGCCCTTTACCTAACAACAAAGAAGGCTAATTTTGTTGAAAGACAAGCTTTCAACGCCGGGGGGCATGTCTACGAAAACTCCTGTGGTTTTTTGTTACGCACGAAGTTGCGTTACATACGTTTTACTTATTTCTTTTTTTCTTTGTTGTTTTTAAGTTGTAACCACCGCCAATTTTTTTTTTGTCAATTGAAAGTACACGTCGATAATATCTGCATCAAGAAGTTTTATTTTTCTCCTCGAATTAAAAAGTATTCAGGCACAGTCACTTAGACGTGGCGGGATCGTCTTGATTGCTTGATATCGACAGACATTTAAGATGATAAAGTTTGGTGTATTCTGTACATTGCATATAGTTCTGGTCCTGCAGACCAATCGAGCAATGCCCCCAAACAAGGTTTTTGTGTCCTTTCGCTGCCTAACATGGCAGCGACATTCAATTTGAAATATTTCCAAAAAAAAAGATAATAGAAAAGAAAAAAAAACTTCCTTGTGATTCAATCTTGGGTCCTCCCGGAGACCTCCCGGAACAGAGCGTAAGCACTATCCATTACACTGATAGTACATTAGTCGTAACGGGCGAAAATAGCATATAGTTTGGTACACACTCGGAGCTCGCGATCACACTAATAAGCTCAAAGTCCAGTTTTTTGTGTTCCACTTTTGGAGTTATAATTTAAATGTCACCCTACACAAAATTCACTGAATCAATGTTTTCACTCAATTGAATTCCAAATTTCATTGTTTAAATTACACTACACAAAAGCACTCAGTCTACTGAACGTTTCAGTATACATTTCCAACAAAAAAAGGTAACTTTTCTCACCACTTGGAATAAAAATCTAAGAGCGCCAAGTAACAAGTCTTTCTCATGTAAACACCAATGTTCATGTGAGTCAGTAACAATGTAATATAAATGTACCTCATCCAAGTCAGAAATCGGAACACGTTTGTTTCCAATTTGTAAAGGCGGTGGATCATTTTTCGGTATAATTACTTCCTCATATTCTTTGTTGTCCTTTCTAACTGCGCTCTCTGGAAGTATCAGTTTCATGCCTGATACAAAACCTGGAAAAGTAAAGTGTATTATTCTATATTATTATTTAACATCGCGATGACAGTGCCTACAGGCTAATTTTAACTAACAAATATCATCGCTATCATGCTGCAGCTACATTAATAGTATAGTTGTAACAAGAATGGGTCAGCTCATCCGGGGGTCCCTCCCCGGTCGCCGACCCATTAACACGACAGGCCCTCACACACTTAAAATAGCAGTTTAACACTGCTGTGTTTTGTATGGTGAGTGTAGAGAACCGGAGACACTTTTTACTGGAAACGAGGCATTCCATCTTAGTCCTTACGGCTGAGAGCGCATTTGCATTTTAATTAGTAATCGAGGATAGATGTAGATGCCCTCGCTCGCCCTGTAGTGTGCTCGTTTGTCATCCTTATCCTATTAAAAAAAATTATCAGAAACCAGTCAATCGAGAATAAAATTATTTAAAGGAATTTATTGCATTTAATTTAAATTTAATTGCTGATATTTCGCCCCGTCTGTTTCCCGTAAACACGACTGTCGCAAATCACTCGAAACATAATAAAATTCGTTAAATAAGTTTTATTCAATTTATAAACAGTTTACAAATTAGTTTACAAACTTACCAGCTGAATTTTTGGCATCAAGTGAGGAATCATAAACATTTGGATATTGCACTTTAGTTTGAAAGTACGATATTTTTTGCAATATTGGATCTATTTTACTGGCTGATTTTGATGTGGAGAACGGTACAACTGGTTTTGACAACTCTGCTAATCTGTAAACATTTTATAAATAGATGTAATACACCGAAAAAAAGTTTATTTGGCGAAATTATTAATTTTTATAATTTAAATCTGAAATGTGCGAACAAAACGAGTCCAAAGTTTTAATTAATTATATTTTATTCTTACTATATTTTAGTGTCTCACAGTGGCTGGCTTCCACCAGTATTATCAGAGCAAGCATCTTCTCTGCTGCACTCCACCCAGTTTGGATAAGATTTGCCCATAATTTTCCAAATATTTTATGCCAGCTGGTCAAGGGTGTCGCCAGTCTATGGCCGGGGGGGGGGGGGGGGCAAGTTCATATAATACAGAGGATGGGAAAGTGTAGGTACAAGAGAAGCTTTACACTTTTATTGCGAGTCTTACTTCTACGGCGAGCTAGTAAGAACAGTACAAGTTTCAATGTGTAAGGCCCTACGATCTCTTGACTGTACAATAAATAAAACTGTTTAGTTGGGGCGAACATTTATGAAAAGACTTATGTATTTCCAGGGTTGGATTAATTAAACTACTATAAAAATGTCAAAAAGGTATAAAAAAAAAGAATTTCCACATAATTAAATAGCTTCTGAAGTCACTGTTAATACATAGTGTATCCATATGTGTAATAAATACTAACAGCGAGTATCAAAAACATAACTTGTAAAAAGAATCAAGTCCCTCAACTCAGTTCTTTTACCGTAAAAAATTGTGAGATCCATGTAATACCAAGTCGGTTAATTTATTCAGTCTCTACTTAAGGGTTCTTTTGTCTTAAGTTATTACGTAATTAGCTAACCTAACAACATCTTATAGTAACCATATAAATATTAAAAATCTTTTATATTTTAAATAAATAGATTGACTTGGCCATCGCATGAAAACGCAATGTATCTCTGAAGTAATACATATTATATTAAATTAGATTGTTTAGTGCGATTGCCAAGTCAATTTATTTATTTAAAACAAAAGATTTTTAATATTGATATGGTAGATTTTTAATAATAACTTAAGACATGAGGACCCTTAAGTAGAGACTGAATAAATTAACCGACTTGGTATTACATGGATCTCACAACTTTTTACGGTAGAAGAACTGAGTTGCGAGACTTGGTTCTTTTTTACAAGTTATGTTTTTGATGGCATCTCATTTCTTTTTGTAAATAATTATATCTAGGCACCTATCTACACCTATTATTCCATCATATTAAACATATATAGGTACACTGAGTCATTCACTGCAAATGTAACTTTGTAATCCTATATATTTATATGGAATTACAAAGTTATTTATGCAGTTAGTGTATCTCGAACACTGAACCGAAATTGCAAAATATCTTAATTTTTCCTTGATTTATATACTAAACAATAGTTGTATTCCAAATTTGAAGCTTCTATGTCTGCTAGAAGTGCCTCAGAGTTTTGATGATCGGTCAGTCAGTGAGTGACAAAATTAAGAAACTTTGACTGGTTATAATTTTTAAACTACTGGTTCAAATTTAATAAAATTTGAAACATATTGAGATTATACAACACCTACTTAGTTACTGAAAATTCAGGCTTCTAGTTTTATCCACAATGAAGTGATAGGGTTTCGAAAATGGCCTGAACTGCTTCGAGAAAAGGATGGTACGGCCGTGCCGCTTTTTTGCTCGACTTGGCGGGGGCACTGCCGTGCCCCCATATAACCTAACCAAGTTCTCGGTACTGAAGAAAATATTGTAAAGAAAAGTTTTGTTGTTGTTTTTCTCAATGAACCTTATTTCTAGGTTAAAAACAGTGAGTCAGACTTTCTTGATATTCTTGTTACGAAATCAAAAATGGAGTATAGCTCTTTGTCAATACTGCAACATTGTAAGGTTCAATATAGCGTTAGACGAGGTTAAAAGTGGTATTTTATAGTTAACAGTGCAACTATATTATGGTTATAGCAAGAATGGGTCGGTCCAACCGGGTCAGGACACACACTCTCACAGAATACCAGCGTAAGATAGCAGCTTAATGCTGCTGTGTTTCGTACGATGAGTGTAGAGAACCGGACCCTTTTTACTGGAAATGAGGCATTTCATCTTAGTTTAGAACTAAGATGAATGAGGCATTTCATCTTAGTTTAGAACTAAGATGAAATTCCTCATTTCATCTTATTTGGGTTGAGAACGCATCTGAATTTTAAATTTTAATCGAGAATAAATAGATGTCTATGGGTCGCAGCATTCACTTACCATTAGGTAGAATATGTGTTCTTTTGTCACCCTTAATGTATAAAAAAATATATACTACATAGTTGTATACAGACCACAATTTATCTCATTAGAGAGTAGGATAGCAGTAGATAGTAGGTGAGCATTCTACATATGTCGGTAACATCAAGACTTTGTTAAACTTTTTCAAGCAGCTTCATCATCATTAAAGCCCTTCACAAGTCCACAACTGAATATAGGCCTGCCCCAAGGAATGCTTCGTGGCATTCTTCGTGACACAGTCCTGAGTCACCTGCATCGATCGACTTCCTGCATGTCTCACCAGGTCGTCACTTTTAGTGAGGGGCCGCCCAACTCTTCGCTTGAACAATTACTAAGTTGTTTCTTACACGCAAATGCGCTATGACTTGTAGCTATGGAAATTAGCCTATTACAAACTGTAGGAGTCATAGGCCAAGCACGAACATATACGTATACGTTTTACCTTTTAGCTCTCAGTTGAGCAATATTCAGTTCATGTTCTTCTTCATCTTCCTCTACTTTTCTTGTATTTTTAGCTTTTTTCTCTTCTTTTCTTACTATCTTCGCTAACATCTTTTCTTGTTCAGAAAGTACAGAAACTTGACAAAGATATTGCGGCATTTTGTTTTCTGGCAGTAAAGCAGCAACTATAAAAAGTAAATCATTATTAAAAACTAGCTGGTAACTGGTGCAGTGCTGCCGCAGAAGAAACAATTGTGGTAATATCGTTTTAAATTTGGAAGACTTATATTGTTTAATTAGGAATGATAACACATTCATTGAAGTTGAATATATAAATTTCAAATAAATTTGTCGATATGATACCTGCGCCACCTACTGTAAGTTAATTGTACTATTATGCCTATAACCTTCGCGCAAGTGCAAGCAATAAGTTGTCAAAGTTTAGCGCAACCTGATGAACGGTATAGAAGCACATAAAATATGAACAAACAAATATTTTTTATATCTTACATAAACACCTGATGGCAAGGATCTATGGCCAAAGTATACAATGACAAATTCTTCAGAATGTGCTTAAAGTAGGCATTTTTTATATTTTTCGAGTTTTTTTGAGTACATGTTTACGTGGTAGAGCCATGCTTATATACGTGGTAGAGCCATGCTGCAGCTATATTAAGTAGTACAGTTGTAGCACGAATGGGTCGGCTCGACTCATTCGTGCTACAACTGAAATATTTACAGTATTGCTGTTATTTTTTTAGTTTTTATCAAAAAACTACACTGGTGATGAAGACAGACTAACGACCTGTCGTATTTCATAATGTGTCAAGCTGTTTAGGATGCATGAGTTCATAATATAAACACAAATATATTTTAATTGCTATATATAAACTAATGACTTTATATGTGGTAGAGCCATGCTGCAGCTATATTAATAGTATAGTTGTAGCACAAATGGGTCGGCTCGTCCGGGAAAGGACCACACTCTCACAGAATACCAGCATAAAATAACAGCTTAAAACTGCTGTGTTTCGTATGGTGAGTGTAGAGAACCGGAGCCCCTTTTTACTGGAAAAGAGGCATTCCATCTTAGTCTTCACAGGTGACAATGTATCTGCATTTGGATTCGCAAACGAGGATGGATGTAGATGTCTATGGGCCACAGCAACCACTTACCATCAGGTGGACTGTGTGCTCGTTTGTCTCCCTATCCTATAAAAAAAAACTATGGGAAAAACGTAATTAAATCCAGACCATTGAATAGACATCAACGAGTATTATAATAACACCACACCATGTAGTGGCAATGTAAGAATATCTACTGCACCATATCGTCCCATGGGTGGTGTAAGAATCGTTAGAGGGAAACCAATCAGGAGAAAGGCATCATTATCTTCTATGTCTATGTTCAGCAGTGTACTTCTGTCTGGCTGTAACTGCTACGCTAATGACACTACTTGACTGTGTATTGTTTGTCTGCAATTTTTTTTATTTTTTTTTGTAAATACTAGTAATGTTATTAAACATTACTAATATTCCCTTAAACCACTTGTGTTAGAAGTGGTTCACAACAGTAGTCGAATGGTGGTGGTCCTTTTTGATTTAAAAATACGATGGAATTATAAAATGCACCAACAATAAACTTACTTTCTGAAATAGTTGGCTGTGGTGGTGGAGCTTTTAAACTGTCAATAATCTCCTGCCTGTGCTCGAGAATCTCTTGAATAAACTCAAACTTGTCGAAGCCAAGCAGTTCAAACAGATCATTCTGCATTTCATCATTACTCCTTGAGGAGTTAAGTAAAGTAATCACTGATTGAAGTATATCTGCACTAGACATGCCACCGCCATTTTCATAGAGCTCTTTGACTCTTGTTTCTAACCATGTTTTCCCAAACTGAAAATAATTGATTTTCATTTTGTTTGATTAATTCAATCAATCAATAGAGCCCTTTATACTGGAGGCTGAAGCTGGAACTTGAATCACAATAGAGTTTCACAGGTTAAGCTATAGAATGTCCCGCAATTCAGTGTGCCTCTTGGCATAGGCCTCCTCTAACATGTTCCATTGTGTTCTGTCTTTGGCTACTCTTCTCCGGTGATGGCCAACTGTGAGTTTTATCTCGTCTTTCCATCTTGTTATGTTTAATTATTTATTTATTTAAAAATAGCAAGAGTTACAGCTTATTAAATTCAAATTCTAAGTCATTTAACCCCCTCTGGGTTTATGAAAGAACATTATTAGGAAATCTTATTCATAAAAGTTTCTTAAAATAGGTTTATAGCATTCAAAAATTGAGACCTTACAGAATATAGATACATAAACAAGCTAGCTTATGCATACTCTAAGGTTGAGACTGTCTTAACAGAATTCGGGGAAGTAGACATTATAGTACTATTAGATATATTATTAATAATATTTACGTATAACACCATTAATATGTAATATATCTTTCACTAGGAATTACAAATGTACAAGTTGTTTTGAATTTATCTTATAAAGTGGATCATAAATATAGCATATGCCATAACATGCTTGTAACACAAATTGTTTGACTATATGTGGTAAAACTATGCTGCAGTTATATTATGGTTGTAGCACAAATGGGTTGGCTTGACTGGGGTAGCCCACACTCTCAGAGAATACCAGTGTATAATAGCAGATTAATGCTGCTATGTTTCGTATGGTGAGTGTAGAGAACCGGAGACCCTTTTTATTGCAAATGAGGCATTCTATCTTAGTTCTCAGAGGTGACAAAGCATTCTACATTTTGTTCTTAATTGAGTATAAATGTAGATGTATATGGCCCACAGCATTCACTTACTATCATCATGGAGTGTCTGCTCGTTTGTCACCCTTATTCTATTAAAAAAAAAATAACATACCTTATATTCTACCTGTGGTTTTGAAACACTTGCATTATTTGGTTTGATAGTATTATTAGTATATTTCATAGAAAAATCCGTTACAAAGACACTGGATGTTGCGGGTTTTTTTGTCAATTTACTAAGAGGTTTCTTCACTGGTTTAAATGGAATGTAGTTACATTGAATATGTTCACCCCAGATTTTTATGTTTTCTTTATTATCCTCATTAATTTCCTTTTTAATGTATTCCTTAGTGTTTTCTGTTGTGTCTATTGAAATCTTTGTAACAATCTAATAAAAGTTTTATTAAATTAATATGTGGCTATACATCTTATTTATGCAACTAACAATATAACTATTACTTTAAATTATTATGAAAAACAATCACTAGGAGAGTTTTTAAAAATGTAGTATACATTGAATATTTTATCACCTATGTTTAATTATATTTTGAGCTAAATGTTTTTATACATTAATTAAATACACTTAAATATGTATTAAATTATAAACAAAATGAAAACATAGCATCTATATCTTAATGAATTGTTAAATGCAAGTCTATAAAATTAACCAAAAATATTATTTTTCCAAATGAAATAATGTTTATGTATAAGTGATACATCAATTAGCCAATTTTAGATTATTGGTGTGCCGATTCATATTTATGCATATCATAGTACAAATAATATTTTTTTAGTTCTGCCCCTTAAATTCTTTTAACGTTTCATAAGAAATCAAGTCACAAATTGTCTAATTTTTATAGAAATTTTGTTTTAAAATATATTCATATCTCTTGGACAAGTATGATACTTTTTCCAAGGTAGGTGTAGTCTCCAATACAAGATGAGTAACTTCAAAGGACCATAGATACTGTTGTAAACCAGGATTGAACACCATTAAAAACTACTGGGTGGATTAGTGGGCAAATTTTGTGACAACTGGCACTGTCACTAATCCTATGCAGTTTATGATAGCAGATATTATGTCAATATTGCCTGATTGTTTGATTCATTGTGATCTTTAGACAGACAAAAATTACATTTATAATCTTACTTTTTAAAGAAAATGTTAAGAAAGAAAAATAAAGATTTTAGTCTAACGAAATCTACATTATTTATTTACAAACCTAACCTTATTAAATCTAACTTATTTATTTAAAAATAGTACTTATTATGAAACATATCTTATTATGGACAGCAATTATTTCATTTTTACCTCACAAATTTTGTTAGCAGTACTTGACAGTACTGTTCCAAACATTTGTCGAAGTTGGGACAGGTGTTTTAACATAACAATGTCCTGATCCAGGAACATTCTGAGTGTAAGCACTGCAGCATCTTCCACTATCTCATCTGGCTGGTCTCCAGTGAGAACTTTACATGATTCTTTGAGGTCATCAAGCCACTTTAATATAAGTTCCGAGTTTTCTTCATTTTGCTTCACATAGTTATAGATGTCCATAAAAGACTTAAACCTTTGATTAACAAAAGAAAGTTAAAAATGTATTATTTTATTAAACCATTATTAAGATAGCAATTAAGTAACAATAACTTATTAGTAATGAATACATTTATGGGGATTTATAAGATACTATAGTAATGTTACAACCATAGATACAAAAAAAATATACATTATTATCATTTCTGCCCTTCAAAGTTCAATGTTAAACATAAGCCACCCCGCAAGCAATGCCACAACACTTCAACTTGCACAAAAAATTAGTACATATCATAACTATTTTGATAAGTATGGAATAAAGAAGGAAAAAAATCTTAAACTAGGTACCTTTGTAGGGTATTTTGGTTAAGCAATTGATGGTTCTGGAAGTCATTTGTAGGTTTAAGACAGCGCGGCTTATCGAGTTGTGTATGTGCTCTAAGAGCTCTCGTTATACGAGGTAATTCTAACATCATTTATTTCTGAAAAAATATAAATATAATATTAAAAGGACATAAACATTTATGTAGGATATTTCTTTGTAACACCCTTTTTGTAGGAGCAAAAAATTGTCACAACTTATTACACAACAACATTTCTCACTTAGGTAATATAAATTTAAAGAAGAGAGTTGAGGTTGATAATAATTCACAAGAGCTAAGGTAATTTTATAGTGTATTTAATGGTTTTTGGTTCGTTAATATTGAGAACTAATAAACATATTTTAATAGGTTCTATAATTTAAGCACCTTTATATTATATTAATAACATTAATTTTCTTGAATTAAACAGCTATTATATTTACACGAAAGCAGAAAGTTCTATCTTCTATAGATAAACACAGCTGTAGTGTAGTCCTGTTCCTGTACCCGCTGTCCGGCTGTCACTGTCACTGTCAGTGTGTCATTTTTTAATTAAAATTAGCTTAGATGCTTGTCTTTTAATAATAATAATAATAAATCTTTATTTTGGATAACAAACGAGATCCATATCACAGATATTAGAAAAATCAAAAAATAATAATAATAATACAGCAAGGTGGACGGAGAAAGTAAAATGACACGCATGCACGCACGCATTCACACATGCACATACGCACACACACATACACACACACTCACACACACACACACACACGCGCGCGCGCGCGCGCTCGCAGCCATACATACATACACACACACAGGTAAGTCAGCCATGCAGCACCTTAATAATTTGCCTTATTATAGGACAGTCATGTTTTTGTGCTATAACACCCAGGATACTGTTGGAGCTATTCCTTGTTCTGCTTACTTAGCGATGCGGCTTTTTTGCGCATTATCGCGTCAAACCCGTCAGTGCGGGCCTCACAGAATATGCCTGAAGCGCTGCAGTAATGGGGTAGCCCCAAAATAACTATAAATGAATTGTTATATTGCACCTTTAATGCTTTATACGCCCTTTGTTTGTAGTTGACCGAAAGGGAGCACGAATAGAAAGACTGGCAGTATGCCTTAAAAAGAGTTATTTTAACGGCATTTCTGCATCGTGCAAACCTACGGGCCAACATATTACTCCGGGTCACTAAAGCCCTACGCTCCATCTCCATGTCCATTTTATCACGCAAATCCTCGGTCACGTAGTGCTACGCTACCATAATTATGTGCAAAGTGTGTAATGCACACGGGCGCCATCCTTTAGGGCGCCAAAACCCAGGGTCAAAAATAACAAAAATTTCCAAAATAAAAAAAAAACAAAAATTAATTTTAAAATAAAAGTTGAGAAATTAAGTAGGATTAGGTATAAATACACATGAAATTTTATTAGTATATCATCCAATTAACGCCGATTCCTATGTTAGGCGTATATCAGGCGTATGTCAGGCGGTAGTTTCTTGATTTTTCCTGTTCAGACATGAACAATGCCCGGAGCGCTATAAAAGCGATGCATCGCTAGAGGCATTTTTAAACTGGTTAGTTCACTGGACCGTGCAACAAGGGCATAAAAACAAGTAGTCCTATTAATTTTTACAATTAAAATTATTTATATTTTATCCAGTGTTGTGTTGTATAATATTTTGTTTAATTTTTTTTCTAAAATATTAAGTGCTAATACCTGCTGACTGCAATTTCAACGGTTTGATTTTTTATAAAATCGTAAGTGTTCCCTACTTTACTTTATACTATCAACATTAACCATTTATAGGAATCCTATATGTTTCCTATTCCTGTTTGTTTCCTGTTTTTATCTGATAACTTCAATAGATAATATAGGAAACAACCTACAACTTCTGCATAAAACATTTTTTTCTATCTGACGTAATAAAGGCTCTAGGAAGCACGTAAATATAGGCAAAGACCTGTACGAGTTTAAAAAAGTAATTGGTTTTTTATCCATAACTCGCTTAGTTTTTATGCTATCGATCTTTTTATAAAACCATTTTGTAGGTTTTTTAAGGGCTATAAGATCAAATTAGTTTAATACTTTTTTGCCTTTATTTTTGAAAGGGCTCGACCAAATTGCTTTTTACTTAAATATGCAATATACAAACTTGGTGCTTATATTGTGATTACTTTAGAAGTTAATTCCTAATTCCCATAAGTACTAATTATTTATTTGTTTTTTTTTCAGGATAAAAGAAAGAGACCTTCAGGTGCGAAGTTTCGCGAGCAAAAGAAACTGAGACTACAAGAAAGGGAAAAATGGCTGGATCTTTAAAGCACTTCTTGCAAAACAATGAAGATTCCACGGAGACTATCGATGCGACCGAATCTCAAGATTCTAAATCCGTAATATCAGTAACCGTGAGTGGCTCATCTGAAACTTCAACGAGGTGACTACGGTAACATCAGGTCCTGCAACAAGTGGCGGCGTTGTAGCAGCAAAACAGCTTCTACTGATGCAGAGCCCGATGAAGCGATGACACCATCTTCGTCTACAGTACTTGAACAATCCAATTCAGGTAATTTAGCTTGTATAAGAAGTTCGGTAATGTCAGCTACCGAAATACCTGCTGTAAGTGACACTTTCGGTGAAGGCTTTAATAAGGCTAGCGTCGATATAATTCCATCTGACCCCGGTTTGTGGCCCGAAATAATCACCAATGAGATAGCTAGAATATTGGTTAAACGTGGTCCGCCCTTGATAGACATCAGTTTTAGCTTTCCTAGTAATAAAGATAAGAGAAAGTTTTCGTGCAAATACTTTGTAAGAAGTCTAGCAAATGGAGAAAAAGTCGAAAGGACTTGGCTTATTTACTCTATTTCTAAAGATACTGTATTTTGTTTTTGTTGTAAGTTGTTTTGTAAAACTCCTAATACTATTTGTGATACAAATGGAGTATCTGATTGGCAACACTTGTGTTTGCTAATAAAGAGACAGGAGTTTTGGCGGGAAATTGACCGGCGGCGGTTTGCTGCTCCTGTATTATTGTTTAAATAATGGTTTGAAGTGGACTTTGATATGTAAAAGTGTTGCGATTTTGTGTATTAAGTGTCTACGCATGTGAACTATTAGTGGAAACAGTGAAACAAGTGCTCTGATGGTGATGGATTCTCAAGATAAGCTGTTTGTTTGCATAGGCACCTTTAGATACCATCGCCAACTATCAGCTGTCTGCTGGATCAAGTTGCCGCCAAAATCTCCCAAGAACTGCACAATGTGACGCATCAACATATTGCAGCAGTATACTATGAAGGAGTGGGGAAATTACAATAAACCGAATAAAAATACTTAAGACTTGGCCTAAAGGTCTAGATACCAGGCCATAAACTCCAAAAAAAAAAAAATAAAGAGACACGAAACGTCAATTTTACACAATAGTTATATTAACTACGGATGTGACATTGAGTGAAAAAAATCGATTAATAAAAAATCGATTTTTTGCTTTGTGATAATAATCGATTTAAGAAAAATCGATTTTTTATAAAAAATAATCGATTTTTGCGGAAAAAAAAATATTTTATTCGAAAAATAATCTTCTGGTTTTAGAAATAAACTACAGAACAATTTTTTTAACATATAACTTTGAACAATAAAAAATTAAAAATAATTACTGCCACAAATGTTTAGTGCCATTTAACAATTTATTACAACCGAAATAAACATAAACGATAAATTAAACTAAGTTTTACTGATTTTATCGCATTTAATTTAACTTTTTAATTCCCGACATTTCAGGTGCTTTACAGCACGCATGGTCACAGAGGGGACTGAGGTGTTTGGCGTCCCTATGTCATAGTTGAACCACAAATCCTCGCAAAAGAACACCGATTCCTACCAAGGATGATTCGCGAGGCTATCGAAATTAAAAAACATTCTAATTTCAATAGAGAAGATGGATGGGTGCTGCCATCTGCTTGGCATCCTATAATTAATAAAATTAAATCCAAACCTGTCTGTCAAAAAGTCTGAATGCAAAACAAATTTCAGCACTTTCGTATGATTATTTTACCAATACTGAGCTCTACCTTTACATTTTTAGTTCACATGACACAAAGTGTCGCCATCTAGTGTCGAATATATTTAATTATATTTGAAAGCCGACGCAAAGAGATTTTTCTAGAACTAATTTAATAAATTAGGTGTAAAAATATTTACAAATGAAATGTGATGCCATCCATAACATCAGAGCGTCTATCTGAGTAGTTTTTACACAATAAAACACAACACTTCATCCTTTTCTTCTTAATACTACGAAAATACACCGATTTGCGATTTTTTCAACACATAAGCGCACAGGACGAATGCTGACAGTATACTAACTAAAGCCACGCCCACTATGATGACGTCAGGACCTACTTAGAATCACAGTGCACAGTTGCTTATGCCGTCTCCCCTTTGTATTAGCTTCATGGCTCCGTCTTTTGATTGGCTTATTCATGTTATTGAATTTACTTCACGTTTTTACATCCATCGCACAGATGACTCTGATTACAAAAATCGATTGAAACGCGTAATTTACATAAAAATCGATTTATTAAAAATCGATTTTTATTATAAAAAAAATCGACTTCGAATAATCGATTATAAGAAAAAAATAATCGATTAATATGAAAATCGATTATTTTTTCACATCCCTAATATTAACACTTGGGTAAATAAAAGAAATGTAGGAGACATCTACGACTGTTAATGCTCATCACCTGCGGATTTTAGAAACGGGGAAAAATATTGACGCGACGTGTTGGATAGAATTATTGCGATTGTTAAGTATTTATCTACACAATGCTTGGCATTTCAAGGTTCTTCGAAATTACTTTTCGAACATGATAATGGAAATTTTCTAAAAGCTGTTGAGATGATTGCCTCTTTTGATTCAGTGATGAGACAGCATGTTAGCCGAGTGTGTAACTCCCAAACAAAATGTGTTAAAATGACTCATTATTTAGGCGTGCAAATACAGAATGAAGTAATTGAATTATTGTCGTCTAAAGTAAGAAATAATATTTTAGAAATGGTTCGCAGTTCAAGATATTTTTCAATAATATTAGATGATTATACTCCAGACACTAGTTATACTGAGCAAATTAGTCTTGTTCTGAGGTATGTTGTCCTTAACACAACTTCAAAAAAGGTTGAAGTTAAGGGAAGTTTTATTGCGTTTAATGCAATAATGGACTCTAAAGGGAAAGGGATACATACATTTGTGGCAGAAATTTTGAAAAAATTAAATTTAGATATAAAAAATATTCGGGGACAAAGTTTTGATAATGGGGCAAACATGAAGGGACAGCATGCTGGGCTTCAAAAACGCATTCTTGACGCGAATCCGAGAGCCCTTTTTATACCTTGTGCAGCTCATATTTTAAACTTAATAGTAAATGACGCTTCTAAAGTGTCAGATGCTACAATAAACTTTTTTTAATTTTGTGCAAGAGTTATATAATTTTTTTTGTCATCCACAAAAATGTGGGATATTCTGAGAAAAAATGTCCCTGGGATAAGTTTAAAGCCTCTAAGGGAGACACGATGGTCTAGCAGAATTGATTTAATAAAGCCCCTTAAAGTTTATTTAATTAAGGTTTGCGAAAGTCTTCTAGAAGTAGCTGAAGATAATTCCTTTCACATTGATGCAAGACTTAAAGCGAGTTCCCTCTTAACAAACATTTCAATTTCTTTGCGGAATTATTATTTGGTATGACGTTTTATTGCACATAAATATTGTCAGCAAACAAATGCAAAGTGCTATAATTAATATTAAAGTATGCCAAACCTACCTAAAAGATTTAGTTGATCACTTCCAGCAATATAGATCTGACCAATTGTTTGAAGAAATACTTGTACAAGCGAAAGAAGTAGCACTCTCTCTCGAAATTGAAGAAGACTTTCCACCGTTACCAACGGTCAGGAGGAAATTTAAACCAAAACTGTTTGACTATGAACACCGAGATGAGACCCCTCATGATCCAAAAACTGCCTTAATAGTTTTTTCTTAAAAATTATAGATCAAACGTTAAGCTCTCTAAAAACCGATTCGACTTCTTAAATGAGTATGATAATATTTTCGGATTTTTTAGCGACATATTCAAATTAAGTGACAGCGATATTTTAAAACATTGTTCTGTTCTTGAAGAACGACTGACAGATCAGGATAATAAGGATATAGACTCCAATGATTTGTTTAATGAAATTAAAGCGTTAAAGTTGTTTTCATTACCTGATGATACGGACCCCATAAGTATTTTACAATATATCGCTGCTTTGCATGAATACCCGCACAATCCAAAATCTTGAAAATACTGGTTTATAACACAGTCACTTGCAAAATAGTCCGTATTTTATGGTCAGTAAGACTCACATTCGGCAATAACGGCAAAACTGACGTAGTGGCGCGTAAAAATGTCGTTATGTGATTGGTTGATTTATCACGCCATATTTGTGCAACAGTCGACGATCGCCAGTTGATGTTATTGTTATCGCGTGTCCACATCAAAACTTTCGGGAATAATAGCACATTACCAAATAATCGTGTGTTTAAATTGTAAAGTGTAGTAATATTTTCTGCAATATTCATTCATTTTGAGTTGGTTGATTATTTAAGTTAAAATTGTGACTGTTTTCGATCATTTTTTTTGTTAAAAAGTGCTGCATTTAGTGCTACAACATTCTTCACGAAAAAGTAAGTAAGACAATAATACTTATTAAGTTTTATTTGTTTTTTCAAGATAGAAACAACAAAATCTTTTAACATGTTTATGAAATAGGTTATTATTGCTTAGAAATAAAGCTAAACAATTTAGAACCGAAAGCAAGTTATGTTACTTTTAACGATATTATAACGTGTTTTGGTATTTTTTTGCTGCCTCGTGGCTTATTTTAACCGCGATGTCCCGGGTTCGAATCCTGGTTGAAGCAGCAAACGGAGTAATCGTCATTTCTTATTTAGAACATTCTTAATTTAGCAACTCGGCGTTAGAAATTATGCCGATGAACAGCAGAAAAAATATAGCCGGCTTCGGGTATTACAGGCATGATGCTATGTTGTGTTGTGTTGTAGTATGATAGGACTGAACGGTGTGGTGTGGCATGGCATGGTGTGGTATGGAGTGGTGTGGTGTGGTGTGTTGTATTGTGATGTTGGTCTGGCATGACATGCCATGGCATAGTATGGCGTGGTTCGTTACTTTATGAAATGTTCTTATTATTTACAGTGCGCAATCCCCGTACCCTACGAATAATCCGGAACCTCAAACAAGATAGTGAATCTGATACACAAAATGAAATACCTACGACTTCAACTTCCATACAATTCACTGAAAAGGAACAGCTCATTTTATCTCCCAAGCCTAACGATAATATTGAAAATAAAGATTTATCTAATGTTAGTGAAGACTTTTGCTCAGATGATAGTGTGAAGGATCCTGACTATGTAGATTTCGATACACCCTGTTCTACAAAGAGGTCTCTTTTGAAAAATAAAAGCCGAGAAGTTTTTAAAAATTTGTTGAGTGGAGTAGATTTAAATGAAAAACAGTATGACAATTTCAGTAACGATGTTTCCACCATAAACCAAACAAGTTCACCTATACCTATGCCGATAGCCCCCATGCAAACAGAATCTAGTAGCAGCTCAAGCGATGGATCTGGTTCCTCAGATTCCGAGAGTTCATCAGATGATGAATTGAATAATGAACGTTTAACAGCAGTGGTTCAGTCTGGGGTAGACAATAACATATTTCCTACAAGAGCTACCTGCATCGAAGATGATATTTCTCGCAATGATTCGATTGAGCCAGTAGCTTCAACTTCTCGTTCTACACCTCCAACTTCTTTAGAACTTACTGCTGATACCAATTCTACACATCTTGGTTGTAACGATAATATCAGCTCAAGTAAAGGACGGAAAAGAAAATCTACACCCAATAACTGGTTGCGTAACAAGGCAAAAATCCTAAGAAACTCTGGTAAGTCCTATATATCCAATTCTAAAAAAGGAAAAATCGTTGTGCCTGCAAAGTCTCTCAAAACACCGTGTACTGATAAATGCAAACAAAAATGTACACAAAACATTACAGAATCACAGCGCAAAGAAATTTTTGAAAGCTTTTGGGGCATGGGAGATCTACAAAGACAACGGGAGTTTATTTTACGCCATCTTTCCGTCATTCAACCACGATACTCATACAAGATGCATAACAGTAACCGAGGGAAAAACAATGCTTTTTATTTGACCATTGATAATGAGAGAATTCGAGTGTGTAAAGTATTTTTAAAGCTACTCTAGATATAACTGATGCCTTTATCCGAACTGTTATTCAAAAGAAGAAGAATTCATGTGGCATGTTAGATTTGGATAATCGTGGCAAACACAGTCAACATTTCCATTTAGATCCGGCTATTAAAGAAAGTGTAATTCAACACATCAACTCAATTCCAAAAATTGAAAGTCACTACTGTCGTGCAGACACAAGAAGGCTTTATATTGATGGTGGGAAAACTGTAGCAGACTTGCATAGGGATTACGAACTCGACTGTCAGTCAAAAAGTCTACCAAGCGCCAATTACCTTATGTATTACAGGATCTTCAACAACGAATTCAACATTAGCTTTTTCCAACCAAAAAAAGATCAGTGTGAGGATTGTACATCATACAGTAATGCCACAAAAAACGATAAGGTAGAACTGAAAGAAAAGTTTGATAGGCATTTAAAAGAGAAGGATTTGTCAAGGCAAAATAAAGAAGATGACAAAAAATTTACTCCTGATAATTGTATTGTAGCAGTTTATGATCTTCAGGCTGCAATGCCTTGTCCTAGAGGAGATGCATCAAACTTTTATTACGTGTCAAAATTAAATACGTATAATTTCACAATATGCGATATCAAATCTAAAGACACTGCATGTTATGTCTGGCATGAAGGTGAAGCTAAACGCGGTGCTATAGAAATAGGATCTTGTTTGCTTAAATACATACAGAATTTAAAGCTTAAAGCTGAAGAACTAGATTCAAAATTAGATATAGTCTTTTATTCCGACAATTGCTGTGGCCAGCAAAAGAACCAGTACATAATAGCTCTTTATGTATATGCAGTTTACCATCTCGATTTTATTAATTCAATAACCCACATATACTTAATAAAAGGGCACACCCAAAATGAGGGTGATAAAGTCCACTCCCTTATTGAAAGAGGAGTAGGTAAAGCTCTAAAGTCTGGACCCATATATACACCTGACAGTATGTGCACATTATAAGAAATGCTAAAAAATCTGGTAAAGCCTATCAAGTAAATGAATTAGTACACGAAGATTTTTTTGATATAAAAGCGTTGGCTTCATCGATAGGCAAAAATTTTTCTAAGAATATGGACAAAGAAACGTTAAAGCTAGGAGACGTCAAAATTTTAAAGGTGGAACCTAATGACTCTAGTTACTGTTTTTTCTATAAAACATCGTACGAGGACACAGAGTTTAAAACAGTCATGATAGATAAAATTGGTAAGACAAGAAACACTGCCAATAATATCACTGTTAAAAAGGCATACAGAGAAAAAATCCCAATATGTGAGAAGAAGAAGAAGGGTTTGCTAGACCTTATTAGGAAAAATATTGTACCAAGATTTTATAAACCGTTTTTTGAGAATCTCTAATTTTTATTATTAATTGTGTACCTGAAGAAGACTGATTATGCGGTAGTTGCCCAATGTTTGATAGATTTTTTTGTTTCTTATTTGTAATGAACCGAATTATTTTTAAAAAAAGCACAAGTTTGTTATTTTTTTTATGTTTAAGCATGGTTCATAATGTTCCTAATTATTTTTAGTTTGTTGATATTTTTTATGTTTATGGTTCATAATGTTCCTAAATATTTTTAAAAAGCAAAACTTTGTTATAATGTTATTTTTCCTAATTACTTTTAAGAAGCGTAATAGATAGGTATTGTTGTTTAGATTTCTTTTATGTTTGTGATTCCTAATATTTTAATGTGATAATTTTAATATGCGTACTGGTAGCTACCTTGATGACAGTAATAGACATACTGCAAATTGTTATAAAATGTGGACTATTTGATGTTTATATTAATTTTTTACGTACATTTTGTATGACAGCATTTTCTTCTAAAAATACTTTTCTACAGGTTTGTTTAATCTCTAAATTATCATATTTAGAGATTAAACAAACCTGTAGAAAAGTACACAGAAACAGAAATGTGTTACTCTACAGAAAAAATCGTTCCGACGGCTTCAGCATAAAACAAATAAATTGATTTGTGTTTGAACACACTTTTCATTAATATTATCTTTATCGTAATTGTGTTACTATTACAGATTTTTTTTATATCTTGTAGATCATATTACCAGTTATGCCATTGTAAAACTAAAATTGTGAACTATTCATATGTATTATTTTGATTTGTGTTCCTATTCATGATAATATACCAAAACTCATTTTGTAACAAGTCGAATAAGTCATAGTTTTTAATTATTAATTAAGGTATTCGCAGCTTAAAACCTGAATTTTTAAATTATAATCAAACCTTGATTAATGTCCTTTCGATTTATATATTCTACTCTTATAATGATTAAAAACATGAAAAGTTATGACAGTAAATATTTTGTTTAATTTTCAAATAGCTACCCTGTAAAATGTGTGTTTTTGGATTGTGCGATTATTCGTGCAAAGCAGCGATATATTTGAAAACAATTTAATCTCCACCTTTCCAAACGTAAGCATTTCACTAAGAATTCTTCTGACATTACCTGTATCTGTAGCTTCTGGCGAGCGATCTTTTTCAAAGTTAAAAATCATTAAAAATTGTTTAAGATATTACGATATTAGCAATTGAACAAGAAATTTTAAGCGATGTGATTAATGAATTTTCAGTAGCAAAGTCTCGGAAAATATCGCTGCTATTACTATTTTGTATTTTTCTATTGTACCTAGCTATCATTTTTGATTTTATAACGAAGTTTCCTAGTATTTTTTATCAGAAGTATCTGCATATCATATTGCATATTTTTTAAAATATATAAGCATTAGTAGAAAGTAGTAGTTATATATATATATCATCATCATCATCATTACAGCCCTTCACAAGTTCACTGCTGAACATAGGCCTCCCCCAAAGAATGCCACAAAGCACGGTCCTGAGCCACCTGCATCCATCGACTTCCTGCATATCTTACCAGGTCGTCACTCCATCTAGTGGGGGGACGCCCTACACTTCGCCTGCCGGTACGAGGCTGCCACTCGAGAACCTTTCTTCCCCATCGGTTGTCGGTTCTTCGAGCTATATGGCCGGCCCATTGCCACTTCAGCTTACTAATCCGTTGGGCTATGTCGGTCACTCTGGTTCTACTGCGGATATCCTCATTTCTGAGTTTATCACGCAGAGAAACTCCGAGCATAGCCCTCTCCATAGCTCGCTGAGCGACCTTGAGCTTCCTCATCCGGCCAGCAGTGAAGGACCACGTCTCAGTTCCGTATGTCATCACTGGCAACACGCACTGGGTGTACAGTCTCGTTTTCAAGTTTTGAGGTATACCTGACGAGAAGATGTGCCGTAATTTCCCGAACGCTGCCCAACCGAGTTGAATCCGTCGATTGACCTCTCGGTCGAAGTTGGACTTACCTAGTCGGACTATTTGTCCCAGGTAAACATACTCGTCAACAACTTCGAGCTTAGTGTTCCCAACAACTACCGGCATAGGTGTGACATGGACATTAAACATGATCTTTGTTTTGTCCATGTTCATCTTAAGACCTATCCGTTGGGAAACACTATTGAGGTCATTGAGCATAGTGCTTAGGTCCTCCAGCGATTCTGCCATAAGGACTATATCGTCGGCAAATCGAAGGTGAGTGATGTACTCGCCATTGATGTTGATACCGTATCCTTTCCAGTCCAGAAGCTTGAAAACATCTTCCAATGCAGCGGTAAAGAGTTTCGGGGATATGACGTCACCCTGTCTTACACCTCTCTGCAATTGGATAGGTTTCGTACTCTGGTTCTGTACTCGGATAGCCATCGTAGCCCTACTGTACAAGCACTTCAACACTTCGATATACCGACAGTCAACTTGGCATCGCTGAAGGGACTGCAGCACCGCCCAAATTTCGACGGAATCAAAGGCTTTCTCATAGTCCACATACGCCAGACATAGTGGCAAATTGTACTCCTCGGACTTCTGTACAATTTGCCGAAGGGTATGTATGTGGTCTATGGTGCTAAAGCCTTTTCGGAAACCGGCTTGTTCGGGAGGCTGGAAGTCGTCAAGTCTGCGCGCGAGACGATTCGTCATGACTCTCGAAAACAGCACGTAGACGCGGCTCAGAAGGGAAATCGGTCTGTAGTTCTTCAAGAGAGCGTTGTCGCCTTTCTTGAAGAACAAGACCACCGCACTTCTGCTCCACGCCTCCGGTGTAATGCCACCATGGAGGACGGAATTAAAGAGCTTCTGAAGGACTTCAAGTACCGGTTTTCCACCCGCTTTCAGAAGCTCCGCTGTAATTCCATCCTCGCCTGGGGCCTTGCCGTTTTTAAGGTGCTGGAGAGCCATTCTAATCTCGCTCAGACTGACGTCCGGGATATCATCGGAATAATGTCGGATAAGACTCGCTCTTGGATCGTTACTCACACTTGCGTGCGGCTCCAACGATGACGTGTACAGCTGCCCATAGAACCTCTCAATCTCACTCAAAATCTCAGGTGCCCCGGAAACGATGCTGCCACATTCTGTCTTCAGCTTTGACAGTTGGCGCTTTCTGGCAGACAGATCTCTGGCAAAGACTTTGGAGCCTCGGTTCCGCTCGATCGCTTCTTCAATACGAGCTGTATTGAATTTGCGTAAGTCCCGCCGCATGCATTTGGAGATCTGTCTGTTCAGTTGCCTGTATGCTGTTAAATCTGTTGAAGAATGTAGCTTCATCTCCCGTCTAACAGCCATGAGATTAAGAGTGTGATCGGAGAGTTTTTGTGTTCTTCTGCGGCGGGTCTTGCAGAACTTAGCTCCGACCGCATGGACAGTTTCCACGAGCTTGTCATTCAAATCGTCCACTTCATTGCAGTCTTCTAGGCACTGAAAACGGTTTTGTAACTCGAGCTGAAAGGTTTCGGGACTTTGGATTAGAGCACGAGGGGGACGGAGCGTTGACTTCATTAGACGAGACCTCTCCAACTTAACGTTTAGGTTCAGTGTGCCTCTAACCATTCGGTGATCGCTGCCGGTTTTCACCCTCGCGATCACTGAGACATCACTGAACAGTTGTCGTCTGGTCGTCATAATGAAGTCAATCTCATTTTTTGTCGAACCGTCGGGGCTCGACCAGGTCCACTTCCTGTGGGGCCGCTTCTGGAAGAAAGAGTTCATCATAAAGAGTCCCTCTTTCTCCATGAAGTCGGCCAGCTGCTGGCCCCTTGGGTTCCGTTGCCCTATTCCAAATTTCCCTACTTTCAGCTCACCGTTCTCTCTTGTGCCTAGTTTTGCATTGAAGTCTCCCATTAACACCGTATATTGGGTTTTGGAGGAATGCATGGCTCTAGAGATATCCTCATACATTTCCTCCACCTCCTGATCGGGGTGTGCCGAGGTTGGTGCGTAAACCTGTATGACCTTCAGCGAATACCGTTTGGTGATTCTGAGTATAAGGTACGCAACCCTCGTCGACACACTCTCAATCTTTACAACGTTGTTAACGAGAGACTTGTGGACGATAAATCCGACACCTCCTTGGGACAGATGGTCGCCCTCCCGGTAATAGAGCAAGTTGCCGGATTCGAGGATTACCGTGTCCTCCCCCTCTCTTCGGACTTCGGATAATCCTATAATATGCCAGCGTAACTTGTCTATCTCTTCTTCCAGCTCCACAATCTTCTCGTCAGTCCTCAGGGTGCGTGCGTTGTATGTTGCCAGGTCGAGTCGTCCTAGGTGGCAACCGAACCTCCACCGGAGATTCTTAGCACCCCCTGCCCCGCCGTTACCATGGTTGCCACCGTAGCCAGGAATAGCGGGGCCGCCGGGGACTGGGGGCCGTTTATTATTGTCATTGCTCATGGGGGGTATATTGCCATAGTTGCCACGCTTGGCGAGCGGGTTGGCAACCGCAGTTTTTTTATTGTTATTTTGGCTATTATCAGGAAGATGCTGCTGCCCATCTGCCTGTTCCCTTTGTCGCCTTTTACGACACCCACGGGAAGATATGGGGTAGTGGATATTCTTAACCGCCACTACACGGCAATATATATATATATATATATATGTAGACATTAGGCAATATTTCTGTTATTTGTTCCTAAGAAAGATGTGATTTTTAGTTTTGGGTTATTTTCTAGTATTTATATACAACGTGTCTGTACCCCATTAGTTAAGTAAATGCTTTAAAATGGGTGTGAACAAGAATTTATTTTCATTTATTTTGTTATGATTTTATTCTGTTTGTTTCATTTTGATATTTTAGTCTACAAATAAATATGACTTCTAAAGTTCAGTTTTTTGCTTTATTTCAAGCACCTACCTACCTACCTTCAAAAAAAAAAAAATAAAAAAAAAACATGATCCAAAATGCCTTAAGGGGCACCAAAATTATTTTTTGCACACAGGCGCCAGGCCCTTACGGGGGCCCTGACAACTTGAGCCAGCAGACCGTTGGCGATAGTATCTCAAAGCGCTTAAGCCGTAGACAGAGAATCAAAGTCTAAGCAATTAATAGAATCAGGCGTTACTTTGCGGAAATCCATTATAATGGGGTTATTATAAACTAATTTGCTTAATTCCGCGTAAAGAAAGAAAATGATGTGTCCTGCCCAGTTTTAAGGGGACTTCCCACCCTCCCTCAATCGGGCGCACTATACTCGTCGCCGTCAATCTCAGCACTACCATCCCCAGCACCACCACACTAGGCACGACACACCACTCGAAAATAGGACACGCGTTTCGCCTCCACACGAGGCATCCTCAGGTGAAGGAGACTCTGCGCGGAATTAAGCAAATTAGTTTACAAAAACCCCATTGAAGTCTAAGCAGACAATCAGTCAGTGTGTCATTATCATCCGTGCATATAGTTGTGACTTTCTTGTTACGATTCGCCAATTAAAGCAGTCAAGGATCTTAACATTAATACAGGAGTAACAATCCGCCAGTGGTCAAATTCTCGCCAAAACTTCGCCTGGTCAATGCATATCATGCATAGTTGTTGTTACGATTCGCAGGCAGATGTGTATTTTTGAAGCAATTAAATTATTCACAATATTAATACTTATATGCGTCACATTGTCAAGTTTTTGCGAGATTTTGACGACAGCTTAAGCCAGCGAATAGTTAGTTGATGACGATATTATTTCTAATATGTTTTTGTTCTTTCAAAAATTTATATTTCGGGGAGTAACAAAGACTCCGTCAGTAAAATTCTATTGGGAATGGTAAAGAATTGCACAAACATCGTAAAGAAGATGTTGCCACAAACATCTTTCTACTGGACTCTTTAACATGCAGGAATGGGACTGAATCCATTCCAGCATTTATCTCGGGCCGTCTCAGCCTTTATTGATTTTACTATTTTACGAAGGACATTTCTTATAATTAGGATAAGATCTAAGCTTCATGCATTTTAGTAACAAAAAAATTTTATTAATTATTAAAACTAATTTGTTTTTGCCGTATGGTTATGGCTTAGGTGAATTTATTTCGTACCGGTGGTCGTAAGAGGCGGCTACCGGCTACTATGATGAATTTCAGAAAGATCTTATGGCTTCTTAGTCCAGTAATTTAAGCCAAAAAAGATGGTCGACCACGGAATAAGAGATAATAAGGTGAAAACTTCTATAAATCTTTATTTTAGCAGTCTAAATGTTGTTCCAAAAGTCTCATAAAATCTCGGGTCACAAAAATCGTTTTTTTTTTGCAAATATCTCGCTTCCTATGGTGGTTCCTATGGTTTTAATGCTGCATTTATTATAAAAATTGTACAAAATAAAATTCTCTACAACTCTTTTTTCTCTCAAACCGTTTTTTATGTACTTAACAGTTTTTGAGATAGAGCGCGGGGTGCGTGCAGCGCTTAACCATTCACATACACTTTCTACACGTGGTAGAGCCATGCTGCAGCTATATTAGTAGTATAGTTGTAGCACGAATGGGTCGGCTCGACCGGGGAAGGACCATGCTCTCACAGAATACCAGCGGCAAATAGCAGCTTAACACTGCTGTGTTTCGTATGGTGAGTGTAGAGAACCGGCGACCCTTTTTACTGGAAAAGAGGCATTCCATCTTAGTCCTCACGGGTGACAACGCATCTGCATTTTGATTCACAAACGAGGATAAATGTAGATGTCTATGTGGTCACAGCCACAGCAACCACTTAACATCAGGTGGAGTGTGTGCTCGCTTGTCACCCTATCCTATAACAAAAACATCATAATGCAATATGCCGTATAAAGTCTATAATCATTAAAAATATATAATTATGTATCACAGACCACTGCTTAACATAAGCCTCCCCAAAGAATTCCACAAAACATTTGACATTAATATAGCTATTGTTATTGATAAATATTGATGATGATATGGCGATGAAGTTTTTCGCCCCACGGCATGTTATTATGATTTTCTTGCTGATTCTTCCCAGGACAGAGGATTTTTTCGAACCAGTGGTAATGTAAAAAAATGAGTTTTAATAAGAATTACTTGTAATCAATATTGAATGAAAATTATTCTATTCTATTCTATTCTAACCACTATTAAACCATTTTGGGTTGGATTCAAACACGCAGGTTCTGGTTTCAATACCCAGCTAGAAGACATAATTAAAGATGTAACCGATATATTCGTATTCGTTAAGATATTAGTAATATTGGGTGGATTCATAGATCAGTAATCCAACGGATTCTGATATGCTAGTATTCCATATTCACTTCATTTATACACTAACTGTAACTGTTCAACATCGGTTTCGGTTGGATAATATCACTCGGCTCGACTCGACTGCTGATATTCGTGACGGATATCTGTATCATTCGTATCGTAAGTATAGCGGTGCAAGCGAGCAAGCCGAATGACCAAATGAATTAACCGATATGAGCGTTTGGCGGGTATTCGTTCTCTATTGTATAGTACTTAGGGACTATTTTTAATTGGATATTTTATATCACGGCGACCAGCGGGACATTACAAATAAAACTCTTTATAAATGTTTAAAATTTATTGACTCTCTAGTAGCTTTTTTTATAGTGTATATTTACATTTATTTATTTTAATAAATTATTGGACATATATTAGTTTTTTGTCATGGTATTTTCCCAATATTCATGTTAAAATCATATCGACAATCATTGAAATAAGTTATCATATTGTTAGATATTGTAAATCATTCTTAAAATGTAAACATACAAAACAAGAGCCCTTGTTTTGTGCAGTGGATTTATTTTTATTCTAACGACTTAAAATCACTTCCAATAATACTTATATAAACAAAAGGGTTTATTTTGTTACAATGCAATTCATTTCTGACTTTCTGGGTACACATTGTGGTGTAACACATTTAGTAATTCGTGAACATTAAATTAAAATTATCTTAAACAGTGTATTAAAAGTTTAGTTCAGTTGCTGAGTGTTAAAGCGGTGAAAAGCAAAGGCATATATCTATTTTTAGCTATATCATAAAATAAAAAGACTTTAAATTAGAAAAATGAAGCGCGCTCGAGTAAGTGAAGTATGGAATTATTTCACAGTTGATTCTCAAGAAAATAAGTTTGCAAAATGCCATGCCCATCGAAATTTAGTTTTAAAGGAACTGTTTCCAATTTAAATAAACATTTAACCCAGATAAGTCTGAAACTAAAATTTTCTGAAAATTTTGAAAAAAGTTACATTATTTAGTTTATTAGATCTTATGCAACATAAAAAAAATTATGAAAAAAAAATTAAGTGTAAGGCTTTCAGGGAAACAGCCGTCCTATTTGTAGGACAGTAGGATAATAAGAGGAAATAAAAGACCATTTATGACAAAACAGAATGTAATTAAAAAGTGTAGTTTATTAGATAACTATTGATTATATTACCCATTGTTATATGTAATTTACTAGATTAACACTATTTATGAATGATATGTTTCAAAACACTTGACACACACTCCAACATCACATTTCTTGCAACGTGTCAAACATTTTTTGTGACATTGACGACAGCGTGTTTGCTTCGATTGAGGAATAACCAGATGATTCATTTGGTCTTTACGACTATCAGCATGTTCATGATGGGAGGGTCGGCTAGGCCCTCTTTTGGCATTTTTTCTGTTTGATTCAATCAAAGCAATTGCTACCCTTCTGCGAAAGCCAAGATGATCCAGTTTTCCATGATTTATTTTATATAACTGCCATGCATTATGTTCGGCAAGATCAATCATGTGTGTGAGCAACGGCATGTACCATTTCTTACCTCGTATACCAATTCGGTAATGTGAAATATTTTCATCAGACCGATCCACTCCTCCCATATATTTGTTATAGATGGACACCATATGTGGTTCTTCTATGACAATGTTTCTCTTTTCACTTTGTGAGAAGCGTTTGGCAGATTGTTTAGGATTTATTCCTACAGCATTAGAAGCAATACTGAATATATTATTGTCATGCCATTTAGCAATAATGAACGTGTTGTCATGTGTCGTTCTGTAATCGACAGCACCACGTTCCTTTTTTTTTCAGTAACTTCGATGTAATCAGAGGACAACTAGATGTCCTGTTTTCTCGAACTGTCCCAGTGCAACGAAGGCCTTTCTTTGTTATCTCTTCCAGCAAGGGCGTCCCAGTAAAAAAATTATCAAAAACTACGTGGTAAGGAAGGTCGAAGCCACGTGAAATCAGCACATCGCAAAAAGTGAGAACAACGCTTGCACCCAGCCCCAATTCTTTATATATTGGATTGCACATAGTTGTAGCACCTTGGTATGGTTCCATCCATAAAACATACCCTAACCGTGTAGCACCAACCCAAGCTTTGAACCCGTACCTAATAGGTTTACCTTTTATGTGCTGTTTGCAGCCATGTCTACCATAGTAGGGGATCATGGCCTCATCTACACTGTAATGCTCTTCAAGAGGAGAAAACTCTAAGAACTTTTTATTTAGAAGTGTAACTAGGGGGCGTACTTTTGTGTATTTGTCTTGCAAATCCAGATTATCATTGACATGAAGGTGGCGAAAAATAAAGTCAAATCTATCCCTAGTCATAGCCGAGCTGATCAATTCATTCTTTGTATCAGGGGAGTTTTCCCAATACATTCTTCTACGGGGGAGCCATGAATAACCACTAACTAACAATATGCCGATGAAACATTTCATATCTTCAGTGGTTATGTCTCCAGGCAAATTCTTTTTGACAGCATATTTATTGCTCTCTGACACCAACAACGAAATAACATCTTCATCTAAGAAGTTTTCAAACCACTCAATTGGGCGTTTATCTTGGCAAGCGCCTTGAACATCTGGCCAATTCACGGGATTTTTTGCCAAGTCCCGTTTTCTCCATGCGTAGGTACGCCTACGTTTAGTTCGACCTGTAGAATCAGAAGGTTCTTCTTCTGTATCACTCACCATAATCTGCCCTTGAATCATTACTTCAGCCGGTTGAAGCAGAATGTTTCGTGGCAAATTATTCAAAGTTACATTATCTTCTTCACCCGAATCTTCGTCAGTGAGACAGTCAGGATCAACAGGAGGAGGTAGAATACATATCAGTCGTTCTCTATAATCTTCTTCATTATCAGAAACATTTTCTAAAGCATCTAAAATTTCATGCGCAGCTAACGGTCTGTAAAGAAAAAGTTGTATTATTGTACTAAAATCATGTATATTATCCTACTGTCCTATATATAGTACGCTAGTATTTGTAACAAGTTATACGTAATTTATTTATATTATTTTGCTAGAATATTTATTTAGTACAAAAGTTAAGGTTATCAACTAGATATTAACACAGAAAAAAACAACTCACGAGTAAAATATAACTTTTTATACATACCTGTCATTTGCCATGTCTGCAACGCACTTTTATTACACACTTATAAGGTAAAATATAAGGTAAAAACTGTTAAAATAACTGTCTTTTTATTTTTTCTAATAAAGCTGACACGTTTCTTACTGCAAATCATAAGACTAAATAATCTTAGATAAAGAGGGTATTCTGATATTTTTTTTTATTTCTACTGTCCTAAATATAGGACAGTAGGCTTATCTGGGTTAAAAAACAAGCATTTTATAACTGTCCCTACTCAAAACTTAAGACAGGAACAGGAAGTCATTCCAACGGGGCCGCTAACTTTACCATTGACTGACTCCAACGCCGACGTTGAGCATACAGATTACGTTGCTTTATCTGGATCTTCACAACTTCGGACCCGCAAGCATCTAATAAAATTCAGTCAACCCTAAGAATGTTCGCTAGTACTAAAAAGTTATCGACGAAACAAAGAAAAGAAATAGATGACGCATTAATGTTATTGTTTTCTAAAAGTTTTCTGCCGTTCTCAATAGTTGAGGATGTATATTTCCAAAATTTTGTAGCAAAGCTAAACCCAGCTTACCACCTTCCGAATCGTAAACATGTATCAAATACATTGTTAGATGCTGAATATCACAACTCTTCAAATAAAGTCAGATAAGAACTCAGTAATGTCGATTCTGCTTGTCTCACAATAGACTGCTGGACATTAAGAGCATAAGAGGGCTACTTAGCGGTAGTTACTGCGCACTACATAGATAAAAACTTTAATTTAGAAACTGCTCTTCTACAATGTCGCATTTTGTCTGGGCCGCATACAGCATTTAATTTGAGTACGGAGTTGAATGAAGTCATAAACGATTGGAACTTCACAAAAAAGTTAAATTAGTTGTTTCTGACAATGCTCCAAATATTCAAAACTGCATTAAAGATCTTCATTTAAAAAACTTTGGATGCTTTGCACATACAATTAATTCGATAGCCAAAAATGGTCTAATGATACCGGAAGTCGAAAAATTTTTAAGTAAATTAAGAAACATTGTGAGTCATTTCAGATGAAGTAACACTGCTGTCGAAAATCTCCTTAAATACCAAGTAAATAATAATGTAACACGACCAAAAAAAAAATTATAATAGATGTCGCAACCAGATGGAATTCCACCTTTTATATGCTAGAAAAAGCTTTATTGTTAAAGGAAGCAGTAACAAGTACATTGGCAATCTTAGACTCCGCTAGCAGTACTTGCCTTGAATATATTAGTGCCGATGAATGGAAACTGTGTTCAGATTTTTGCACAGTTTTAAAACCGTTACAGCAAGTTACTCCAGATTAGTCCAGATTAGTGGAGCAAAATACGTTACAGGTAGTCTTGTCATAATATTTAATAGATTATTAAATAATGTGTATTCCGACAAAATTTCACACGATGAAACACTACATTCCGGTGCTAAAGTTGTATGCAATAGGATTATACGTAGTTTGCTGATAAGACTGAGTAATATAGAGATGAGCGGTACTTCCGGAGTAGCTACATTTCTCGACCCAAGATTTAAAATGGCATTTTATATTGATAAAAGAGCAGCCGAAGCAGCCAAAAAAAGGTGATCGAAATGGCAGATATTGAAATAAATAAAGAAAGTGCTAGACAGGAATCACGGTCAACGATAACGTCATTAGCGCCGACTACATCAATAGAAACCGGAATATCAGAAGATACCAGCAAGCCATATAATTTCATAGATATTTGGGCGGATATTGACATCCTAGACGTTCATACACTGGAGTCACTAACAGCAATAGCTATTGCTGAGGTTCAGAGGTTTATAAATGATAAAATGTTACCAAGGAATGCAAATCCAAATGATTGGTGGCGTAAACATTCTTTTTTGTACCCTAAACTCAGCAAGGTATTCAAACAGCACTGTTGTGTACTTCAATACCTTGCGAAAGAATGTTCTCAAAATCTGGGGAACTAATTTCTGACCGACGAACTCGTCTGTCGTCAGAAAAGGTGAAAAAATGGATGTTTTAACACAGGAATAAAAAATAAAATTTTCATATACACATTATATAAAAATGTTGTTTGTTTTTCATTCCAATTCCTCACAATATCATTTATTTATTAACAACATTAATATTTATCAAAGCATATAAACCGAACATATATTCTTATAAAAACTAATAAGATTGCTTTTTAAAATAAACTTATTACCTACATGAATAGAATAGTGATACGTATAACCGTTATATTAAGATATCAGTAATATTCATATATTAGTTTAAATAATATAATATAACTTGACGAATATATTTGACGGCACCTGCACCTTTGTAGGTGCGGTGGCGTCGGTCTAGCTAAACAGAATTCTTGTAAACGACACGTGTACTGCACACCTGCGGCATTGCACCTGCGTTGCCGCCCGTCCTGCTTGTATAAAACGGACGGAGCGGCCGCCGTTAAGGGAGTCTTGGCTCTGACGTGGAACGGTGCGCTTGTCGTATTCCGTTACTAGTTTATCCTCGACTCGTTGGATAATCAATTCGTGTAAACGAATTAATTATTATTCCTAACTACAAAATCAGTCTCTGCACTTTACCCCTCTATACTTCCTATATCAGAAGTGGGATAAAGTCCCCCTTATTGCCCACATATAATCTTCGAATAGTGTGAGAATTATTACATTTGTAAAGGCTATAATGCATTTCGCATTGATGGATCTCTTTTTATGTTAATTACCGTAATGAAATTTGCTGTCCTACTTACGATATTGTCGTATCATTAAATTGTAGAGAAAAGATAAAGTGAGATTATTTAAGCCAAAAGATAAATCCATTTGTTCGATTTGTATTAAAAGTACCCTCAAGTATTTTCATTATTTCTGACGTACCTAAATATGTTAACAAATGAAAGAAATGTCTGAGGCTTTCTAGACGAGTCATCGTTTGCATTGAATGAAAAATTAACTTGTTCAAGTTTTGTTCAATTTGATAGTTCATGCGAAACATGATTATCATCTGTTATATTTTGGAATTCAAAACGTTTAAGCGATGTACCAAAATAAAGGATTAACTTTAACATGCTAGGAATTGAAAATAATAAGTGATATTTTTGTGTTCTAATGTGTTGATCAGTGTTGCAGTTTGCTCCGAATACTGTGTGGTCGACAAGATTGGGGTTTGATGTCGAGAGATTCGTAGAAGTCTCTACAACAATGATCAATGAGGAAGATGTTGTGACGGCTAATCCAACAAGGTCAGGTACGGCCGAGCGCTAGTAAGATTGATCCTACAGCGCTACAGTCTGTAACTTATCGGCAGATCTTACAGCAAGGCAATTCAAGCGGCTGCCGAACACATGGTCCTTTGGTGCTGTAAATGAACGTCTGAGGCTTGGTCGGCTTTCGTAGATTTTGCGCAGTTGCCTCCTTCCCTTTGAAATATGTGATGGTATCCGTCTCTACACATAGTTTCCGTTTTTTGAAATGTTTTCAAATGTCATACAGTTGCCGTTTCTTAAGAGAATATGTGGTGAATTTTGGAAGCTCTGAATTCCATGGTTCGCAATACATTTATCTCGATTTCTTTTAATTTTGCAAAGCAGTGCGACGATTCGCTAGCGCTAGTACGGCGCGACGGCTTGCTGGCGCGAATGTGGTACGAACGCAGCAGAACGAAAAGCTGTAGTGCGTTTGCCTGGAGGTAGCCATATCGGCGCGTTCCAGACTTAAATGAAGTCTGGGATGGTCGACCGTTGTAATATTTAACAAGAGTTAATATCTGTTAGCAGGTGGTGATAACTGATAGACCGTATGCTGTTCACTGTCAACCTCACGAGGACGTGCGACAGTCAGAGGTAGCCGTGTCTGTGCATCTAGAAAATACTAGAGACGTTGCAACACTCTAGCGAAGTAATTATTCTAGTGTAGGAAAGGATCATGCAAGTTGCAGGGAGGCTGGTCTGTGCTGCACTGGGATACGTGTCGTGTTGCTGTTGGTTTACATAACATCTAAGTTATCGTGTCACTACGTCCCTCACGATACACTTTTGTGTGATTGTAACGGGGACATGTTTGCGGTATGGTTGGTCTGTAACTGTTCTATACTGAATTGAAAAAAAAAGAGAGTAAGAAAAAAATGTGGTTCTTACTATCATTGCAGGGCGTTTGCCGGTCCAATGATATAGCTACAGGGAATAGTGATTCCGGACTAGCATAAATAGTACTGAAAAAAAGAGAGATTAAGAAAAAAGAATAGTTCTTACTATCATTGCAGGGCTTTGTGCCGGTCCAGTGATATAGCTATAGGGAATAGTGATTCCGGACTAGCGAAAACAGTACTTGAAAAAAAAAGAGAAAATAGAAAAAGCTACAGACTAATCATTCCGATATAACATAAAGATGATTAAAGTTTTGTATGGCTTACTGCCGTAACAAAACCGACTGTCACCCAAGTCTGAAGGGTCAATATAGACCGGACCAGACGCTGTTATGTCAGGATAGTCGAACGATGTTTTTTTGTCTACAGATAACTAAAATTGTGATTGAGCGCGTGCGAGGACGCACGCATGTCAGTATGGCCGTGACGGCACCTGCACCTTTGTAGGTGCGGTGGCGTCGGTCTAGTTAAACAGAATTCTTGTAAACGACACGTGTACTGCACACCTGCGGCATTGCACCTGCGTTGCCGCCCGTCCTGCTTGTATAAAACTGACGGAGCGGCCGCCGTTAAGGGAGTCTTGGCTCTGACGTGGAACGGTGCGCTTGTCGTATTCCGTTACTAGTTTATCCTCGACTCGTTGGATAATCAATTCGTGTAAACGAATTAATTATTATTCCTAACTACAAAATCAGTCTCTGCACTTTACCCCTCTATACTTCCTACATATTCATATTAACTAATACTGACAAATATCGGTATTAACCCATGTTTAGACATAATAAAAACACTTTCAATGTTGTCACCTCGTCATTGGGCGTTTATTCATTGGCCGACCCGGCCCGGTACCGATACAGACACCGACATCAGTGGACGCAT